TTTTTTAAGTGGCATACTGGGGGAAAGACCTAACACATTATTTAATTGTAGTATCTACTACCTTCCCTGGACTTTTCTTATGAAGGTGGTGTGTTCTATACCTCAAACCATCCCCAGTCATGTGGCTGGTATCCTCGTCTTTGCACCCCAGGAATAATATTGTAGACACAGCAGATATCTCACTGTCCCTTTCTGAACTTCTCACTGCTGCTTCAGTTCCTTCAGAGAAAGTGTCTTCCCATCATCAATATGCCTGTTTCCTATGATACAACCTGTTTTTGTAAGGCTCCCTTGGAGTGGATTACCGGTTCAAGGGCCCCAATTTGTACTAAGGTCTGAGAAGAGCTCATTTCAACATGCCAGCCACCCCCTTCCTCCTTCCTCCCAATGCTCAGATTCCCCATTCCTTCTTTAAAAGTAAGAGATTTGTTCTTCAGGTCACACTTGGAATAGTGTTTTCTGACTTCATCCTGTTTCCTAGATATCTGGCTAATTTCTCATTTTAGTTCCTCTCCCCAGCTAGAACCACTCTCCATCTACCAAAAAAACATGCCATGGCCAAGAGTCCTTTCTACAGCTCCTCTACCATCCAGTGCAGATGCATAAAAAGTAACACACACAGACAGGCACACACACAGCCTAGGGCAAAGCGTGCTCTGTTTTAAAGGAAGTGTCTCCCAGAGCCTGTGACTCTTCTTTGTTCAAAAGTAGCACCTGCGAGTTAAGGTTTGGCCAGGAGAGTGGGATGAATTTCTTGCCTGAATCTCCCCAAATCACCCTTAGAGGTTCAGGCCTTGTCAGTGCCCATTTTTTTGCTAGGAACATCCCCAAGGCTCTGAGTCCTGAGAGGCGCAGGTCTCTAAAATCCAGTACTTTCCCTTGAATCATCCCCATATTCTCTAACGGCTTCTTACACTTAACATACTATCCAGGGCTGGTAAGGCCATATGGCTTACTCCTTCCATTGCCCATCTCCCTCCACTGCATGTCTTGATCACTCTGACCCAGCCAGGCTGACTTCCTTGCTCTTCGTTGAACAAGTCAAGGTCCACACTTCAGGTCGTTTGCACCTGCTGTTCCCTGTGCTTGGAATCCTCTCCCCTTCCCCAACGTCCACATGTCTTGATTTCTAACTTTACCTTCAGGTCTCAGCTTTAATGTCCCTCTTTACAGATGTCTTCTCTGACCGCCATCTCTGATATGGTTGATATGGTGCCCCCACCACCTTTTGTCTCCTTCCAGTACTTTTCTTCTTCTTCTTTTTTTGTTTGAGACAGTCTCTCTCGCTCTGTCACCCAGGCTGGAGTGCAGTGGTGCAATCTCGGCTAACTGCAACCGCCACCTCCTGGGTTCAAGTGATTCTCCTGCCTCAACCTCCGGAGTAGCTGGGATTACAGGCACGTGCCACCAAGCCCGGCTAATTTTTGTATTTTTAGTAGAGACAAGATTTTGTCATACTGGCTAGGCTGGTCAGTAACTCCTGACCTCATGTGATCCACCCGCCTTGGCCTCCCAAAGTGCTGGGATTACAGTCATGAGCCACCACGCCCAGCCTCTAATTGTGCTTAATCATTTTTGTTGAAGCCTTAAGGCAGACTACCTTGCTTGGGATTGGGCATCTGGGAAAACAGATTTTGGCAAAGCCCTTAAAATCTTGCTTTTCTTGGGTGCAATGAGCTGGTCCAATACAATTCATCCATGAAAGAATCTTCAAATTCCATTTTCTGAGATGATTTGCAGGTTTGGAATAATAGAGCACTTTTTCTTAGCAACTCATTTAATATTTGAGTGTTATTTGACACAATCATATCTTGGTCAACAGGTCCTTCAACAGGTGACCCCACTCTGAGGTAAGAATAATACTATCACAGTGCGCATTTAATTCGATCAAGAATCACTGGGTGTTTAAGAGCTGTGCATGGTGGCACATGCACCTATAGTCCCAGCTACTCAGGAGGCTGAGGCAGGAGTGGGAGGATCGCTTGAACCCAGGAGGTCAAGACTGCAGTGACCTATGATTGCACCATGGCACTGCAGCCGGGGTGAAAGACTGAGACCCTGTCTCAAAAAAAAAAAAAAAAAATGGAGCTGTGGATATAGCTTTCTTTATTGTTCCTTTTCTCTTTTGTCATTTTCCCATTCTTTCTTTCATTTTTGCCTTTTCCAACTTCATTTTCTATGGTTATTGTTTTTTATATCTTTATAAAAAGATTTTCATTGCTTTAAATAAATGATTTTCTAGCTTGCTTATATGTTATTGTCTTTCAATTTCTCTTCTCTTTTTAAATCGCATGCTTTTATAGCCATCACTGAAATACCTGGGAAACTCATTTGCCACTTTAACTTCATCTTCATTTTATACTGTCTGCCTGTTTTTCAGACATATGACAGGGAAGTCATGTCAAGAAATATATTATCTAGTGACAGATGGAAGGATTGATCTATATAAATGAATGTGATACTTTAGGGATGAGTGGGAACTATTAGGATGTAATAAGCTTGTGACTTAACCATATTTCAAAGAGGAGTCTGCAGCTCAATTCTGAGTTTCCCTTGAGTCACGGCTTTCAGACATAGAGAGTGCTAAATCTAAAGATACCACTGAGAGCAATTAGAATTTCTTTCTTATAGGAGTTAGTATATAGAATCCTACTGTGGAAGAATCTTGAGGCTAAATTGCTCTTTTGTCTGTTCTTGACAATACAATCTTGTTGGCAATTTGGGGCTTCAACACTTGAGAAAATCTGGTTAGAGTCCCTTGAGGAATAGAAAAGATAAGGATTGGAACATGGCACCTTTAGGTGTGAAAGAGAAAAATTGGAATATAGCTAGGCATGGTGGGGCACACCTGAAGTCTCGGCTACTCAGGAGGCTGAGGCAGGAGAGTAGCTTGAGCCCAGGAAGCAAGACCAGCCTGGCCAGCTTAGAGAGACCCTGTCTCAAAAAAAAAAAACCAAAAAAACAAAAAAAACAGGTTAGAATATAGTGAAGGAAACTTTAAAAGAGAAACAAAGCACACAAAGTCAAGACTGAAATATAATGGTATTAGAGAGTGGTCACCAAATAATGTGACCAGGGTAAAAATCCTGTGTACTATGTTTGTGAGAAAAAAATCTGATAATTCAAACAGACCTCTTCAGATAACTTCGAGACATATACTAGAAAAAGAAGTTTCCTGAGATGTTATGCCTCAGATCAGCCTGATGGAAGAGGGGAGCAGGGGCTGGGCGCGGTGGCTCACGCCTGTAATCCCAGCACTTTGGGAGGCTGAGGTGGGCGAATCGCGAGGTCAGGAGTTGGAGACCAGCCTGGCCAGCATGGTGAAACCCCGTCTCTACTAAAAATACAAAAAATTAGCTGGACATGGTGGCAGGAGCCTGTAATCCCGGCTACTTGGGAGGCTGAGGCAGAAAAATCTCTTGCACCTGGGAGGCAGAGGTTGTGGTGAGCTGAGATCACACCACTGCACTCCAGTCCAGGCAACAGTGTAAGACTCCATCTTAAAAAAAAAAAAAAAGAAAGAAAGAAAGAAAGAAGAGGGGAGCAGGAAAAGATTTCTAAGATCTCTCTAAATATGGCATGACAGCGTGGGCTGCTTTTTGCATTTCAGGAGAAGAATCGAACCCTGGGAGTTTGACATCTTCTATGACCCCAGAGAACTTCGTAAAGAGGCCTGTCTGCTCTACGAAATCAAGTGGGGCATGAGCCCGAAGATCTGGCGAAGCTCAGGCAAAAACACCACCAATCACGTGGAAGTTAATTTTATAGAAAAATTGACGTCAGAAAGACGTTTTCACTCATCCATCAGCTGCTCCATCACCTGGTTCTTGTCCTGGAGTCCCTGCTGGGAATGCTCCCAGGCTATTAGGGAGTTTTTGAGTCAGCACCCTGGTGTGACTCTGGTGATCTATGTAGCACGGCTTTTTTGGCATACGGATCAACAAAATCGGCAAGGTCTCAGGGACCTCGTTAACAGTGGAGTAACTATTCAGATTATGAGAGCATCAGGTAAAAACAGTAAACAAAGAAACTTCACTGTTTCCAAGAAACTGTGGTGATAGGAGCTGTCTTTAGGCCAGAAGATTGGTTAGTCCAGGCTGGAAGTCTCAGAAGTAAAAGTCCAAAATAATGTGATAAAGGACTAGGTCTGAAATTCATGACAAGGAAAGTAACAAAAATACAACTCCTGGCTGGGTATGGTGGCTCATACCTGTAATCCCAGAACATTGGGAGGCCAAGGCAGGAGGATCACTTGAAGCCAGGAGTTCAAGATCAGCCTGGGCAACATAGTAAGACCCCACTCTAAAAAAAAAACTAAAAAATCAGGCCAGGTGCGGTGGCTTACTTCTGTAATCCCAGCACTTTGGGAGGTGGAGGCGGGTGGATCAGGAAGTCAGGAGATGGAGACCATTCTGGCTAACACAGTGAAACCTGTCTCTACTGAAAAATACAAAAAATTAGCCGGGCGTGGTGGCGGGCACCCGTAGTCCCAGCTACTCGGGAGGCTGAGGCAGGAGAATGGCGTGAACCCGGGAGGCGGAGCTTGCAGTGAGCCGAGATCCCGCCACTGCACTCCAGCCTGGGCAACAGAGCGAGACTCTGTCTCAAATAAATAAATAAATAAATAAATAAAAATAATAAATAAATAAAATAAAGTTAAAAAATCAGACAGGTATGGCGGCATGCACCTGTAGTCCTACCTGCCTGGGAGGCTGAGGTGGGAACATCTCCTGAGCCCAGATGTTCAAGGCTGCAGTGATCACTGCACACTGGCCTAGGTGACAGAGCGAGACCGTGTATCAAAAAAGAAAGACAAAATCAAACAACAACAACCACCCTTTTTTTTTTTTTTTTGAGATGGAATCTCGCTCTGTCACCCAGGCTGGAGTGCAGTGGCGGGATCTTGGCTCACTGCAAGCTCCGTCTCCCAGGTTCACGCCATTCTCCTGCCTCAGCCTCCCGAGTAGCTGGGACCACAGGCAGCTGCCTCCACACCCGGCTAATTTTTTATATTTTTAGTAGAGACAGGGTTTCACTGTGTTAGCCAGGATGGTCCAATCTCCTGACCTTGTGATCCACCCGCTTCGGCCTCCCAAAGTGCTGGGATTACAGGCGTGAGCCACCGTGCCCGGCCAACAACTCTTTTCTCTAGTCTTGCCTCTCAGCCATCTTTAAATGAACTGCTTTATTCTTTTTAGGGGGTCTAATGTCCAGCAGCAACTAGACCAGAGACTAGAGGCTTTCTATATGGTAAACTAGGTTGGGGATCTTCTTAAGTAATTTACCACTGTGCTTGTTGAATGAGCCAAGATTCGTGTTTCCTTAGAGTATTATCACTGCTGGAGGAATTTTGTCAACTACCCACCTGGGGAAGAAGCTCACTGGCCACGATATCCACCTCTGTGGATGATGTTGTACGCACTGGAGCTGCACTGCATAATTCTAGTAAGTTACTTTAGAGACACAAATGCTGATGCCAAAAGAAGCATCCTTCTTCAAAGTTCTTTCCTGAGAATTTGACTCATATCTTCTCTTTGACGTTTATATTGAGATTTAGTTATTTAACTAGCTAGCCCGTCTTAAGAAAATCTCGCAGCCAGGTCTGGTGGTGCACACCTGTAGTCCCAGCTACTCAGGACGCTTGAGTCTAGGAGTTGCAAGCTGCAGTGAGCTATGATCGCGCCAATACGCTCCAGCCTGCATGGTAAAACAAGACCCTGTTTCTAAAAAACAGCTGGGTACAGTGGCTCATGTCTGTAATCCAAGCACTTTGGGAGGCCTGGCCTGGCCAAGATAGTGAGACTCCATCTCTGAAAAAAAGAATTAGTTATCAAACAAACTAAACAAGCAAACAAACAAACAACATCTAAGCCTAAGAACAAGAAGTACGTTTGTGGGAAGTAAGTGGGAGAAGGGAATTTGGGTCAACAGATCTAAGATATGGGTGGTCCCCATATTAATTACATTTTATCATCTTTATTCTTATTTTATTAGTATTGTCTTTTAAGCCACAGGGTCTCGCTGTGTTGCCTAAGCTGGGGTGTAGGGGCTATTAACAGGCACCATCACAGCACACCACAGTCTCAAACTCCGAATTCCTAGCCTCAAGCAATCCTCTGACCTCAGCCTCCTGGGTAGCTAGAACTACAAGGATATGTCATCATGTCTGGCTTTATCATTATTATTGTTCTTGTTACTACAACACACATTGGCTCTACTGTATTTCAGATATTCTTCTTTCCCTTATTAGTACGTGTAGTCTTATTGAAGAGAATGTAAGTGTTCCATTGGATTCTCTTGAAAGTGGTTCAGGCCGGGTGCAGTGGGTCATGCTTGTAATCCGAGCACTTTGGGAGGCAGAGGAGGGTGGATGGCTTGAGCCCAGCAGTTGGAGACCAGCCTGGGCAACATGGTGAAACCACATCTCAACAAAAACACACAAAAATTAGCTAGATGTGGTGGTGTGTGCCTGTAGTCCCAGCTACTTGGGAGGCTGAGGTGGGAGAATTGTTTGAGCCTAGGAGGTTGAGGCTGCAGTGAGCTGTGGTTGCAGCACTGCACTCCAGCCTGGGTGAATATGCAGTAAGTCCAGAGCAAGACCCTGCCTGGGGGTATAAAATAAAAAAAGTTCAATTGTCTTCCAATTGACATTTTAAAATGTTTGTGGTGATAATACTATTAATTAAAATATTTATCACCACAAAAATAAAAAAAGTTCAATTGTCTTCCAATTGACATTTTTAAATGTTTGTGGTGATAATACTATTAATTAAAATATTTATCCTAAGGATTAAATAGAATCCTTTTTTATTCCAGAGTCTTCCACCCTGTTTAAAGATTTCAAGAAGACAGCAAAATCATCTTACATTTTTCAGACTTCATCTTCAAAATTGCCATTACCAAACGATTCCACCACACATCCTTTTAGCTACAGGGCTGATACAGCCTTCCGTGACTTGGAGATGAATAGAATGATTTCTATGTGCGTACTGATTCAAGAACAAGCAATGATGACCCACTAAAGGGTGAATGCCATTTAGAATCTAGAAATGTTCACAAGGTACCCCAAAACTTTGCAGCTTAAACCAACAATAAATATGTATTATCTCTCACAGTTTCTGTGGGTAAAGAATTTAGAAGCAGCTTATCTGTGTGTTCCTGTCTCAGGTCCCCCATGAGGTTGCAGTCAAGATGGCAGCCAGCGCTGCAGTCATTTGAAGGCCTGACTGAGGCGGGAGAATATGCTTCCCAGGTGGCAGGCTCAGATGGCTGGCAAGTTTGTGCTAGTGGCTGGTAGAAGGTTTCAGTTTCTTGCCACGTAGACCTCTCCATAGGGTTGCTGAAATAACCTCAAGACAGGGCAGTTGGCTTCCTAAGGTTAAGTTACCTTTTGAAAAATTTCTTGCAGAGATGGAGTTTTGCCGTGTTGCCCAGGCTGGTCTCAAAGTCCTGGACTCAAGTGATCCACCAGCCTCGGCCTCCCAAAGTCCTGGGATTACTGGTGTGAGCCACCATACCTGGCCCAGAGCAAGTGATCTAAGAGAGACCAAGGTGGAAATTTCCATGACTGCAATGAGTTCATTTTGGAATCACACCCTATTTCTTCTGCAGTATTCTATTTGTCACACAGGACGGCCATGATTCAGAGTAAGAGGGGACTTATCCATAAGGATCTGAAACTCAGAACGTGAAAATCACTGGACGCCATCTTGCATTTTCCCTGTAGGGGCTTTCTCTGTTTTCAGGACAAATAATTACATGGAACCAATTTCTGGAGACACAGCTAGAGGGAAACAAAAGACAAAGTAGTAGCACCTGTTTTGATTTGTTTCTTAATTAGAATATCATAAGATTTATAGGTGATCTATAGAGGACTGGATGACCAGATGCAGAGAGGAGCTCCCCTCTCTGTGAGAGCTTCAGAAACCTGCAGAGACATTGCGCGACGTGCCTGCGGACGTTGTGTGATAGGAATTCTCATCGGGTTACAGAAATAATATTGGTTAGTGATTGGCTGGACACGGTGCCCAGCATGGGGCATTTTGTGGCTGCTTGGCGTCAGTCTAGAGCCCATGTTGCAAGGGGCTTTAAGAGGTAATTAGCTCAAGCAGAGAGTGAGCTGTGATTGCTGTCACATTTAAAATGTTCTTCTGGGCTTGATAATTTAAAGGAGCTCACATTCCTCAAATAAAACGTTCATTTTCTTTCTCAAATCTAAACATAATATTAACCACTGCTATATTATTTTTAGTAGGAGGATGAGAAGAGCTAAGTCAGGCACAATTACAAAAAACTCTTAGCCTATTCATCAATTACTCGTATAAGCTGAATAACAGCAATTCTAATTTATAGCTACTTTATAATAATATTAAATCTACTAATGAGGCTGGGCATGGTAGCTCATGCCCGTAATCCTAGCACTTTGGGAGGTTGAGGCAGGCGGATCATTTGAGGTCAGGAGTTCGAGACCAGCCTGGCCAACATGGTGAAACCCCGTCTCCACTAAAAATACAAAAATTAGCTGGGCGTGGTGGTGGACGCCTGTAATCCCAGTTACTCGGGAAACTGAGGCAGGAGAATCGCTTGAACCTGAGAGGCGGAGGTTGCAGTGAGCCGAGATCATACCATTGCACTCCAGCCTGTGGGACAAGAGTAAAACTCCGTCTCAACAACAACAACAACAACAAAATATATATATATAATAAATAAATAAATTTACTAATGAGAGAAGAGAGCAAAAAGAATCAGTTAGGCAGATAGCTAGGACAAGTCCTTGGTAGAATTCCTTTCTAACAAAGAAACAGCTTGAAAGATGAAACTGCAAGCACAGATAAGGGGGCAAGGTCCACCATAAAAATGCATTCTGTGTAACTAACAAGGGTCACATATACATGCTAGGGTTCGGTGAACACATCCCTTTCCTTTTTTGGACATACTCAGATAAGGGAACTTGCATAAAAGGCGGGAGGGCTTATTTGAAAGATACCTGCAGCCGCACACATTAGGGGAGTTATATAGAACCAGACATGTCCGCAATGGAGAATTCCATCCCCTAACACATGCACAGTAAGGGAAGTTAAACCACATGGAGTCACTTAGGCTACGAATGCACATGTGCACTACAAGGACAGGGTCAGGAATTCAAAGGGGCTGTCAGGAATTCACACTTTATGCAAATGAAGCACCTAACCCTAACTGATTTTTTGTGCCTTATGTAAATGAAACATCCCTCCTACCAACCTGTTTATAAAAGGCTTTGTATCCAACTGTAGAATGGCAACCCTCTTTCGGGTCCCCTCTTTGCTGTGGGGAGCTTTGTCCTTTCACTTATTAAACTCTTGCTCCAACCTCACCCTTGTGTCCATGCTCCTTAATTTTCTCTGTTGGTCCTGAGACAAATAACGCTGAATCCTACTTCAAACCACAAAATCAAAACATTGTGGTGCATTGGCAAGACTGCAACACGAGTTTATAATTTATACTACATCAACATCAACTATGTTCATGTTATCTAAATATATGTACCACAGCGTTATCATCATCATACACATGAAACAAATTATCACTCTAAGCAACCACAATCTGTTACCTTATTTTCCTTAAGAAGTCTACCATCACTTACTGAATTTTACCTAAATGAATTATTATAAATGTCAAAGAACAATGGTATTATCATACCAACATTTGTAGCTATCATAGCATTACTTAGTTTATATTTTTATGTATGACTAATTTACCCTACATCACTTAAAATATTGCCAACTACCAACAACATAAAACCAAAATGCCAGGTCAAGAAAACAAACAAAATAGCCTTTTAATCACTACTTATGATATTATCAATCCTTTCTTTCCCCCTTGCACAAATATTTTTAGCATTGGATTAAGAATTTAGGTTAGCCAGTACAAGAACCCTCAAAACCTTAAGCAAGTATGTTAGACTTAATTCCTGAAAAAATAGGGATTGTAAAACTTTATCTTACATTAATTGAATGCAAATAAAACATTTTTTAAAGCAAAAGCCTCATTAGACTGGTAGGCTCCAACCTCATGAAAATTTAGTTAACAGCTAAATATCCTAACCAACTGACTTTAATGTACCTTTCCCTCCCTAGAGGAAAAAAGGCAGGAGAATCTCCCCGCTCCTGCCCCCCACACTCCAGAATTGAAGCTGCTCATTTAACCTTGCAAATTCAGTGTGAAATTTCACCTCATGACTTGGTAAAAAGAGGGTTTAATCTTTTTTTTTTTTTGTGAGACGGAGTCTCACCCAGGCTGGAGTGCAGTGGCAAGATCTCAGCTCACTGCAACCTCTGCCTCCCGGGTTCAAGCGATTAACTTCTGCCTCCTGGGTTCAAGCAGTTCTTCTGCCTCAGCCTCCTGAGTAGCTGGGACTAAAGGCAGGTGCCACCATGCCCGGCAAATTTTTGTATTTTTAGTAGAGATGGGGTTTCACCATATTGGCCAGGCTGGTCTGGAACTCCTGACCTCGTGGTCTGCCTGCCTTGGCCTCCCAAAGTGCTGGAATTACAGGTGTGAGCCACCAGGCCCAGCCCTAATCTCTTTCTTTAGATTTACAGACTAATGCTTACTCAGCCATTTTTGCCTTGCTTTTTCCTATGTTCATTAATTGTTGATTATTCTCAACAAACCACAAAGACATTGGCACATCATGTTTACAATTTGGTGTCTAAGCCAGAATAGTGGGGACCATCCTCCATTTTCTTTTCTTTTTTTCCCAATTTTAATTTTTATTTAAGTTCTGGGGGTTCAGGACATGTCCATACTGAACTAGGTCAACCAGGAGTTATGTGTGAGGAGATGATCAAATCTGTAATGTTATTATTGCTGCCTATACATTTGTAATAATTTTTCATGGTTTTACCTATTATAATCAATGGATTCAGAAATTGATTAATTCCATTAATAATTGGGGCACCAGATAAAGCATTCCCAGGAATACATAATAGGTTTCTGACTTCAGCCCCTATCATTCCTCCTCTTCCAATAGTCTAAGCTGCTCTTAAACAGGGTGAACGTTCTATCCATTTGTTTTCTTTAAAAAAGGAGATAAAAGGCTGGGCACACTGGCTCATACCTGTAATCTCAGCACTTCGGGAGGCCGAGGCAGGCTGATCACGAGGTCAGGAGTTCAAGATCTGCCTGGCCAACATGGTGAATCCCTGTCTCTACTAAAAATACAAAGTTTAGCTGGGCATGGGGGTGCGTTCTTGTAATCCCAGCTACTCGGGAGGCTGAAGTAGGAGAACTGCTTGAACCGGAGGAGCTTGCAGTGAACTGAGATTGTGCCACTGCACTCCAGCCTGGGATACAGAGCAAGACTCCGTCTCAAAAAAAAAAAAAAAAAAGGGATAAAGTATGATTTCATGAATCACATGGTTTATTGCTATACAAAAAGAATTTTTCTTCTAATCACTGGCATTTGTGTGTCAAAGCTTGCCAGCCTGGTTTTTCAAGCTGCCTGTTAGAAAAGAAATGATTTGGGGGTTGCTTCTCTTTACAGGAAAATTTCCACTGAGAATCTTTACCCTTTCTAGCGGCCTAAAAATTATTTCTTAATAACTCCTGTATTATTCCCTGCCTCAAGAGAAGTAAACGTAACTGCTTTCAGGGGGTGTTGGGCGACGATTCTTTCTGGCTGCTTCCTGTTGAAAAGGCACGTCACGTGAGGGAACAGCAGTTGGTCCTCCTCCTGAGGTTGATCTAAGCGTTCTCGGAAGAATAGTGTGTCCATGTGTGGCTCTGCTCGCAGCATTGTTTGGAGTTCGATTGCTTCTAGGTGAAAAGAGATAAATTTTACAAGAAGGTTTAAAATATAGGGTTAGAGTATGAGTATTAAGAAGAGGACGGTTAGTGGGAATCCTGTAGACCAAAACCTTAAGATCTGTTAGTGACACCAACGGATTGCAGTACCGGTTTCCCTCCACTAGATGTCGTTGTACATTACCAGAGACTTTAATATAAAAGTAACGTTTTCCTTGAGAAAAGCATACATTTTCTTCTTGATTTCCCATTAGAGAATAATTTTAGGCATAGGCCACTTTTATGAGTTGCAATATGATTGGGAGAAATAAGATATTGGGTGGCTA